TCTTCAATTATTTTTACAATTTGCTTACGCTTACTTCACTAGTGCAAATAAGGAAAAATAGGTCTTTGCATTAATGTTATAGTAATTCATTGATATTATATTTCCTCAGATTTAAGCCAGGTTAACGCTGCATTGCGTGGTGGTGGTAATGGCAATCTTTCACCAAGGTTTGACCCAACACGAAGAAGAGGTTCAAGAAATTTTGCCTTCCCTGAGTGAACCAGAAAGACGTAACTCTGGGGCTATGGACTTTTAGTTTAGCAGTGTATTTAAATGTAATTTTAGTTGAAGAGCGAACAATTTTTGCAGTATTATCCATTGTAAATATAATTATTCAGAATTATCAAATCATATTTAAAAACGATTTTATATCCTGTAAAATYTTCCTTGAAAAACAAATTCTTATAATATTGATTTATCATTGATTGCATTGTTGTTATTAGTTTTCAAAAACGTTGATTGTATATATATAATATAGAAGAATATGATATAGTATTTCTAGGTTTAGAATATTAGTTCTTCATGGTTACATAAAGTAGTGTGTATAGATGCATCTTACTGACAATAACCAAGTTTAAATATAATACAGTACCGCTTATAAGAACCTATTTTTTCAAATTTTGACTAGGGATAAATATATTAGGGGTGTACCTACCGATGGTACAGCGATGATATCTTAGGGGTGTACCTAACAATGGTACAGGGATGATATCTTATGGGTGTACCTACCGATGGTACAGGGATGATATCTTAGGGCATTATCTACCGATGATAGAGGGATGATATCTTAGGGGTTTATCTAAGTCAGTACTGTAAACATTGGAAACAATGCTTGTTCTATGACTGAGGGTCATTTTCCCTGAGTACTTTCCTCAACATTTGTAAACAACTTTTAGCTCAGTAATCTTAAGAGTTTAACAGCCACAAAAATTCATATTTTATTGTTAAGAGTCTTGATTCATATATCGTTCTTGCACACTTGCTGATTTAAAGAACTCAAAGTCTGCACCAACAGCTGAAGACATCARTGCAGAAAAGTTACTATCTTCATATTTTGTACCAAATACGTAGCCATTAGCTTTGTCTACAACTTTCATGACATTCAGCAAACTTTCTTTGTCCTGAATAAAAATAAAGGAAGGAAAAGTAAAAAAGAAGAAATTGATAGTACCAACTGTCAACAGAATACTGTTATTGTGCAAGTAAGTAATTTAGATGTAAAAAGGCCATCTAGTTACTTGTGCAAAAAAGGTAATTTCTTCAGACATTAGTTTCAAGAACAATACCACTGTTTGGTCACAACTTACTGTACTTGAATTTACTGTATCTTTTTATGGAGAAATTGCAATAGCTGTATTGATGTGGAACCTCTABGGGGGAGGAGTGGGGAAGTAATTCTGGGAAGAACAGGCTAAATGGTAGTTGACACATAATATTTTTACCTGTATATTTAGAGTCACAAATGACACCAAWGAGTAATCTTGAACCAAACCTACCAAAGCATCATTTAATTTTTTGTATTTTTTGGTAAAAGCATCATCCTTCAGCTGTTCAACCAGGTAGTTAAGATCCATCACCTCTGTGTAATATTCTAGATTATATGCTGGAAGAAATAAATAAACACTGGTTTCTCAAGCCACTGGAAATTGGCTTCTCTAATATAAGAATTACAGTACAATATCATGTCAACCCATCATGCCAATCATTGATTCCTTTACAGGTTTGTTATCATTTTAATACAGATTATGAGCACAAAACACACTATATACTTACAAAGTTTGCCATACTGCTCAATGAGATCTATTTTAGACAGGATGTTAACATGAGGCAACTCAACCTTGAGCATTGTATTAAGTGATGTAAGTAAAACAGAGATGAATTTTCCAGGATCACTACAATAGTGGGAGTCTACAAGATGAACTGCTGCAAGCTGAAAAATAAAATATTGCAATGATTTTAAATGTTACATTTACCTACAAGGCATTAAACCATCTAGCCTCAGAGAACTACTGGAAACAGAAACTTTGTTTCTCATACATTCATTCATACAATCCATTCATCCCATTGGCAACAGAAGCTTTGTTTCTCATCCATTCATTCATACAATCCATTCATCCCATTCATTTATTTATTCATAGCACAATTACTCAAGAATTCTTCAAACTATATCAAGTTATTTTTACAAACATTTCTCAAATATCATCCATGCTTAACTCACCCTAAACTGCCACGTCTCAAGCTGTTTTACAATGCTTCTAACAGAGTTATGATGCGTGTAAAGTTCAACCTGACCAGGGCAATCAAACAAATAATAATAACCGTCAAGTTYTTTAAGTTCATTTTGTAACCAATCAATATTTTTCTCAAGATACTCCATGCAATATATAAGCCCTCCGTTAGGTCCAAGTTTCAAGTTATCCATGACATCACTCAGTGAAATCAAAGTCGAAATRTTGATCTTGCACTCATATGGAAGATTGTCGTTTGCTGGATCCAAGTTTACAACTGCAACTTTTCGACCTAAACCTGTCAAAAATTCCATCATTCCTGCACAATAAGTGCTTTTTCCAGATCCAGGTGGTCCTATGACAATTTGTCCAAATACAGGCATATCTGATTTGTCCGAAATCAAC